ATTTCTTTATTTGTTCTTATTTTATTACTGACTGCTTACTTGTTATTTTTTATTCAGTTCAAAGTTTGAAATCAAGCTATCTCGTGCTACTGCACCAAAATTACCCCGCTGTAAAATAAAAAAAACACTGAGTGAGCAACAATTTGTGAGATAGCTAGTTATAATGGTAATTAAATAATGTTTACATATGTATAAAAGCCTACATTAAAATCTGTCATATAAATTGGTCTCTTCATTAGAAATTATCCTACTGATTGCCACCATTGATAGACAAATTTTTTTTATAATATTAAAAATATCTGTATGACATTATATTCTGCAGTTCTTCCCTGTTGTACTGAATTCAATTTATTTTTTTCAAATTATCATATCGAAGTTAGAAATTCAAATATTGTGACAAAATTAATTTTGTAGGGTGCCACAAGTTTGTTAAAATTTCCAAAGGGTGCCGCAACTAAAGAAAGGTTGGGAAACACTGCTCTAGCAAACGCGTCTTCAAGTGACATCTGACGACTTTTCATTTACTTTTCCAGTGTTACCTGCTGATGTGGAGGACGCTGGTCTTAGTTTCATGCATTCTTGATATTCCAAGACATGTTTACGGCTAAGGTGGTGGAGCAAACTGCTCGTGTTACCGCCCCCGGCGACAACTTTAGCCCGACAACATTTGCAGAAAATAGTTGTTTGGCCGACGTCAGATTTTTTAAAACCAAAGAACCTCCAAACAAGAGACACGGCTCCTCTTTTTGGCACAAGTTCTTCAGTGTCATCAAGTTCTTCAGTTTCCGAACTTTCGTCTATTTTATCCATCTTCACCATCACGCTTAGTAATGCATTCAGCTGTGCAACAGTAAAAAGGGACCCCTCTGAAACAGTGTCGCGCCGCACCGCGTTCCGAACAAAAAGTGACATACTGCATTGCATTGCATGTATTGCAGTATTTAAAAAATTTATATCATAAGAAAAATAAACACCGGTATTTGGTATGAACCGGTATACTGCCCAGCACTAATACTAATAGCCATACGGAAACGCCGCCCCTGGGACAAAGCCAAATGATTATCAATGTACTTATTCACACGTGCGTTTATCCACACGTACGTTATCCAGATGCAAAGTTAAAAAAATCCTTTCTTTGCTACGTCGCCTCCGACACGTGACAGTGACGTCTAACGTCTCATATATTACGTCTGATGCCTGAATACTATGGGATTTTAGCCAGACGGCTGGCGAGCGTATACACGTTAGTTCTCCTCTCAGTTTAGATAGATAGATAGATAGATAGATAGATAGATAGATAGATAGATGAGTTTGAATGGGTTAGATATAGTACATAGAAGGCAAGTCTGATCGAGTCTAATGGGCTTCAGTGTGTTTAGATTTGAATTTTGATAGTTGAGTTTGTCGGAATGTTCAGGTGAGCAGAGACTTTTCAATGTAAGTCTATGGGATTTTTATGATTTTTAATATTCATTTTTATGAAAACCGTAAGTCCGATCAGTTAGAAAAGATATAGCACACCCGGTCATATCAGTCTGAAGATCTGGGCTGAGTTAGAAGTTTGTAGAGTTAAAGCTCTAGGAGGAGTAGCAGTCAGCAGTTTTACATTTACATTTACATTTAGTAATTTAGCAGATTCTTTTATCCAAAATGACTTAAAAATGATGACAATGGAAGCAATCAAAATCAACAAAAGTACAATATGCATGGTTTGTTAGGATCGGACAATATTTGGACGAGATACAACTATTTGAAAATCTGGAATCTGAGGGAGCAAAAAAATCTAAATATTGAGAAAATCATCTTTAAAGTTGTTCAAATGAAGCTCTTGGCAATGCATATTACTAATCAAAAATTAAGTTTTTATATATTTAAGGTAGGAAATTTACAAAATATCTTCATGGAACATGATCTTTACTTAATTTCCTAATGTATTGTTGGCTATTGCTACAAATATACCTGTGCTGCTTAAGACTGCTTTTGTGCTGCAGGGACACATATAGATAGATTACAAAAAGAATAGAGAAGCTAGTGTTGGTTTTTTCTTTTTTTTTGTTAAAGAAAACAAGCAGTTAGTAAATTAATAGAGTGCAAGTCTAAAAAGGGCAAGTTTTTTTAAATAAAGAATAGAATTAGAATAGAGAGTGCTAGAGTTAGAGGGTCAAATAAAGGTGGAACAGATGTGTTTTTAGTTGTTTCTTGAAGATGGTTAAGGACTCAGCTGCTCGGATTGATTTGGGCAGGTCATTCCACCAGGAGGGAACAGTTAATGATAAAGTCAGTGAAAGTGATTTTGTGCCTCTTTGAGATGGCACAATAATATGCTGTTCACTTGCAGAACGCAAGCTTCTAGAGGGCACATAACGCTGAAGTAGAGTTGAGTTTTAATAATAAGAAGAAGAAGTTTAAATAGCATTTCAGTAAGTTGGCTTTCTTGAGCCAACTTAATCAATTAGAATATCCTGCTATGATTGTGATAAATCAGTCATGAATGTGACCAAACCGAAACAAGCATGTTACAGGAAGAATTTGTCTCTGTTCAGGACCTCTGCGATTGTGTTTACCATGTTTACTGTGGTAAGCGTGTTATGTGAAGAGCACGTCATGTTTGACTGACACGTCAGACCCCGTTTGGTCTCATCCAATTACCCACAATCCCCCTCTCAGAAAGAGTCTGCTCACTCACTTCAGGAAAATCTAAAGCGCAGGGAAAAGCTATAAACCGGATTACTGTGCTCAAGCCCGTCAGCTTCCCTCGTCTTCATGATGCTGTCGCTGCAGACGCCAGAGAAACCAGCCACAGCATGAGCTGAAACAGTTCTTATTCACGAACAAAACACATCTGCAGCGACAGAAAGACGATGATTTCAGTCTTCTAATACAACACTCATCTGTCAATATACAGTGTATCGGTGTTCTTCAAGCCATCTCGGGTATTTTCATAATGACTAAGTACGTTTGTATGGTTAAGGTTAAGGCATACTTTATTGTCCCTGAGGGAAATTTGTCTTAGGCTCAAAAATACAACCACCACATCACATAAAACATATAACAATAAGAAAAGAAAAGGAAAAAAAGAAAAAGGAAAAATCCAGAAATACATAACCTTACATATTGTTATTTAATAGCTTAATTGCAGGATTGTCAATCTCCTACCTGATGGCAGCATTACAAACTCACAGTTCAAGATGTGTGTTGTATCATGCAAAATCTACCCAATGAAAGCTGCTCACATAGGCGTTACATAACACACATCACGACTGTTGTTGTGTCAGAACGCAGTCGATCAGCGCTCATGAAGCCTCATATCGTCCAGCAATAACACTCTCTATAGTGAAGCACTGAGGCATTATAGACATAACAGTAACACTCTCGGTAAAGCTGCTTTCAACCCACGTGTTTTGTGAACACACAGAATAAAAGTGACTTTACAGTGTAGGGACGTGTTAAACACAGTGGAGTCAAAATCAAACACCAGATTCGATCTGCTCCAATAATGAAAGACACTCAAGTGATCCATGAAGGGTCTGTTGAAACATCAGTCTGTTTTCTTGGGTTTGTGTGTTTGAGAAAAGCTGCATCTTCTCACATGTTCAGGAAACGAGACCGTAACCTTGAGATTAAAGTGTCATGACTGCACACACACACACCTGATGAAGTCTAAAGAGCATTAAGTCCATTAGTGTTTCCCTAACGGGAGCCGCAAGCTGCTCTCTGAGCTTCAGTGAGACTATAAGAGAGCCGGAGAGACGGAGAGCCTCACAGACAGACGGAGAGAGAGACACACACACGCCGCTCACGGACCACAAACACAGGTAAACACACTTCAGAGAACTACAATACTGCTCTTGCTCTCGCTCAGATCTGTAGTTCACAAACGACCGATCATCTGTTAGCTCTGTTACATCTGAGTGTTTGTTTTATGTAGGTTAGTTTTCTCAGCTTGGGTGTTAAAGCAGGAAAACTGACATACTGTATGGTGTGAAATATTGATGAACAGATGAAGGTGTGATTCTCTGCATCACATGAAGCTAGAAACACCAGCGTCTGATCCCCAGACAGACAGATGCTACTGTATAATCAGGCAGATAAAGGAAATCTCATAAGTCTGTTATGTTAATGAGATTAACCGTCTTAATAAGGCAACATGAAAAACAGTGTTTGACGTGGGTTATTGTGAGATGCTAATCTGATCGATGTCTGACACGTCAGGAATATCGTACAGACGGCACTCACATTCTTCCTGAAGGGCTTTATTTCGTAATTATGATTGACAGACTGTATATTATCACACTGGGGTGTTTACAGGATAAATCAGTATATGCAGACGACATTAATTATGTGAGCAGAAGACAATTTCTTGTATAGAATGTGGAAGAGAATTACAAAGATGAGGAGCAGCACAGCTAAACGCCCTGGACCCCATAGTGGCTAAACGAACAGAAGGTACAACAAGGGAAACAGATGAAGAAGATCTGAGAGTACGCTTCGGGGTGTAAATATTAAGCACGTCAGAGAGATATGAGGGTGCAAGATTATGAAGAGCTTTAAAAGTGAGAAGCAGAATCTTGTACTCTACTCGATATTTAACAGGAAGCCAATGTAGATGACAGAGAACAGGCGAGATATGCTTGATGGAGGAGGTTCTAGTAATTATACGGGCAGCTGAGTTCTGGACCAACTGAAGCTTATGAAGGAAGACAGTTACAATAATCAATGCGCGAGGTAACTAGAGCATGTACAGGTGCATCTCAATAAATTAGAATGTCATGGAAAAGTTCATTTATTTCAGTAATTCAACTCAAATTGTGAAACTCGTATATTAAATAAATTCAATGCACACAGACTGAAGTAGTTTAAGTCTTTGGTTCTTTTAATTGTGATGATTTTGACTCACATTTAACAAAAACCCACCAATTCACTATCTCAACAAATTAGAATATGGTGACATGCCAATCAGCTAATCAACTCTGAAATAAATGAACTTTTCCACGACATTCTAATTTATTGAGATGCACCTGTACAAGAACAGCTGTGGAATTGGATGTGAGAAATGGACGAAGACGGCTGATGTTCCGTAGATGAAAGTACGCAGACCGAGTAATATTGTTCACATGCTTTTCAAAAGACAAAGTACAATCAAGGACGCTCTTAACCTGAGAAGATGAGGAGATTATCAATAGAAAGTAAAAGACTATTGGATTTAGTGCCAATAGCGACCCCTAGAGGACGCAGTTCGAAGTTCCCATGAAAGGGAACCTCTGTTTTGTCAATATTCAGCTTGAGAAAGTTATGCGAAAACCAAGATTTAATCTCTTCTAAGCAATCCAAAAGCTAGGTAGAAAGAAGAGCAGAATTTGGTTTAGAGGACAAATAGAGCTGGGTTTTCTTCACATAGCAATGAAAACTAATGCCATATTTCCTAAAAATATAACTGAGAGGTAATAAGTAAATGATAAATAAAAGAGGGCCCAAAACAGAGCCTTGAGGAACACCAGCGGTAACAGGTGAAGAGTATGATCTGAAATTTTTCAGTTGGACAGGGGAGAAATGTTCCAGTTCCAGTTTGAGTGGCATAATCCCATAATCCTAGATTCCCGTGACGCGCTCCGATCGTAAGCTCCTGGTCGCTGTGTTTCAGGGAAGCGCAGACATGAACGCAGCTCCTCCTGCAGGAAGTGCTCTGGCCACGCCTGCCAGCACCGCCGGACCCACCACACCCAAGAAAGGGCCGCCCAAATTCAAGCAGAGACAGACACGCACCTTCAAGAGCAAGGCCCCCAAGCCCGGGCAGAAAGGGTACAAACACACAAACACACTCACACACACACACACACACACACACACACACACACACATTCTGCAGTCACTGAGTTTCCCTCTCGTCTGCAGGTTTGGTGATGATATTCCTGGTATGGAGGGTCTCGGCACAGGTGAGTCACGGTGACACACACACACACACACATACACACACACACACACACACACACACTCTCTCTGTGTTCAGTGTTTAACGCCTGTATCTCATCTCGTGACAGACATCACTGTGGTGTGCCCATGGGAAGCGTTTGGAGACATGGAGCTCAGCGATCTGGCCAAATACGGCATTATCTAAGCCCCGCCTCCCCCCCATCCCGTGGCCCCACCCCTTTTGCTCAATGTTGTCGTGAGGTTATGATGTATGATGGTAAAGGACTGACTCAACGCATGGATACTGTCATTATTGATATGATTGTTATTGTTATTATTATTATATAATATTTTATATTTTGTATATGCTGCGATAAGACGACATCTTATCCCCTCCCGCTCCCCAGCTGTCAATCAACATCCTGAAAGCTAGTCATCAGGGTTAAGACACACCCCTAGCTACGACTCCGCCGTTATTACAGAAGGTGTGTTTCCTGTAGCAGCGATGACTGATGACATCACTTCCTCTGTCTCGTAGAGCCTGTCCTATGAACACATTTATATTATTAAATGTGTCGTGTGATTACCGGAGTAGAAATCCAATTAAATTTTCTATTTTCACTAACTCTGTTGACGTTATTGCAGTTGAATAAAATCAAATATCATAACACGGTAATGACTATCATTAAATACCATTATGAAAAACACATTAACATACTGAATAACTTTAAGAATGATTGACGAGTGTGTGTGTGTTTGTGCGTGTGTGTGTCTGTGTGTGTGAGTATGTGTGCTATAGTGTGTGTGTGTGTTATGGTGTGTGTGTGTGCGCGCATGTGTGCACTATAGTGTGTGTGTGTGTGTGTGTGTTTGCGTCTGTGTGTGTGAGTGTGTGTGTGCTATACAAACACACTCACACACACACACACACACACACACACACACACACATTCTGCAGTCACTGAGTTTCCCTCTCGTCTGCAGGTTTGGTGATGATATTCCTGGTATGGAGGGTCTCGGCACAGGTGAGTCACGGTGACACACACACACACACACATACACACACACACACACACACACACACTCTCTCTGTGTTCAGTGTTTAACGCCTGTATCTCATCTCGTGACAGACATCACTGTGGTGTGCCCATGGGAAGCGTTTGGAGACATGGAGCTCAGCGATCTGGCCAAATACGGCATTATCTAAGCCCCGCCTCCCCCCCATCCCGTGGCCCCACCCCTTTTGCTCAATGTTGTCGTGAGGTTATGATGTATGATGGTAAAGGACTGACTCAACGCATGGATACTGTCATTATTGATATGATTGTTATTGTTATTATTATTATATAATATTTTATATTTTGTATATGCTGCGATAAGACGACATCTTATCCCCTCCCGCTCCCCAGCTGTCAATCAACATCCTGAAAGCTAGTCATCAGGGTTAAGACACACCCCTAGCTACGACTCCGCCGTTATTACAGAAGGTGTGTTTCCTGTAGCAGCGATGACTGATGACATCACTTCCTCTGTCTCGTAGAGCCTGTCCTATGAACACATTTATATTATTAAATGTGTCGTGTGATTACCGGAGTAGAAATCCAATTAAATTTTCTATTTTCACTAACTCTGTTGACGTTATTGCAGTTGAATAAAATCAAATATCATAACACGGTAATGACTATCATTAAATACCATTATGAAAAACACATTAACATACTGAATAACTTTAAGAATGATTGACGAGTGTGTGTGTGTTTGTGCGTGTGTGTGTCTGTGTGTGTGAGTATGTGTGCTATAGTGTGTGTGTGTGTTATGGTGTGTGTGTGTGCGCGCATGTGTGCACTATAGTGTGTGTGTGTGTGTGTGTGTTTGCGTCTGTGTGTGTGAGTGTGTGTGTGCTATAGTGTGTGTGCATGTGTGTGCGTGTGTGTGAGAGAAAGAGGCTGTTCACACACACATAATGTAAATTCAGGAAGAGCAGAAACAAATGTTCACTTCATCATCTGCGCGTCCATCTGCTCCTCCCATCCTACACCTCACACACAATAAGTCTTGAATGAAATCAGGTGACAGTACGGTCACAATATTCATAACTGTGAACTGTAAATTGTGTGTGTGATGTTGTGATTGAGGTTCAAAACTCTTTTTTACACTGTTGCTCAAGAAAAGGCATGTTTTGTTCAATCAGACAACAGGTTTCCTCATGTCATGTAAAGATCCGTGATTCATTAACTGCTTGTTTCATTCAGATCAGTTGTCACTACCACACACACACACACACACACTCACACACAGACACACACACACACACACA